AAAACAAAAAAACTTGGAATCTTACTCTAAATACAACTTATTTTTAAATTCAAAATACAGGCACTTAAATAGGATTTAGTCTCATTTTTCAAGGCTTGAATTCTCTGCTTTTTTGTTGTTGTTGTTGTTGGATCTGGCAGTATTTGGGGGCTACACTTGACTGAACGCATGGGGGTCACTCCTGATTGTATTAGGGGACCAAGTGGTGCCAGATCTTAAAACCAGGTTGGCAGCATGCAGAACACACACCCAGAGAGCCACCTCAACGGCTGTTTGATTTTTCTGAGTATTTCTGGTCTCAACTCCTCCCCTTCCGCCTGTTGTTAACCCAGGGGCTTGATTGTGCCCTTGACCATAGGCCCAGGGCAGTGCTAGGAGTTGAACTCAAGGCATCAAGCTTACAAGACAGGTATCCTACCAGTGAGTTCCATCTCTGGGCCCCACCTGACTCATTCGTTTCTAAGATTTTATTCTCCCAGTGGCATATTCTGTCCGTCCTCCCTCCATCCCGCAATGGGACTATCCTCAACCTGCCTTTACTCAGAGTCATCTAGGACATGTCTTTAACCAGGCTGGGTATCCTGGAGCCTGGGGGGGAGGGGGGTGGCCTCTCTATGCTCCCCACATGTAACGGTATTAGGAGCACCCTGGAGGTAACTGAAGCTATGTTAAGCCACATCGAGAACCTTTACCCTCTATAAACTTAAGTGACAGGAAGTCCAACGGAGGGGCTGGAGAGATATGACAGCGGGTAGAGTGTTTGCCTTGCATGCAGCTGACCCAGGTTTTTGATTCCCAGCATCCCATATGGTCCCCTGCACACCGCCAGGAATATTTCATGAGTGCATGAGATAAGAGTAACCTCTGTAATATTGCTGGGTGTGATCCAAAAAGAAAAATTTAAAAGAAAAAATTCCAACGGTCCTATGGAGGAATTCTTGATACCTAGTAGATAGTACATTTTAGAAGATCCATGAACCCCAGGAATGTGCCTGTGACATTATTTTCCAACACAGGAGTCAGGCAGCACCTTCAAGAATGCCACTGGGGGGCTGGAGCGATAGCACAACTGGTAGGGTGTTTGCCTTGCACGCGGCCGACCCGGGTTCGATTCCCAGCGTCCCATATGGTCCCCTGAGCTCTGCCGCTAGGAGTGGTTCCTGAGTGCAGAGCCAGAAGTGACCCCTGTGCATCGCTGGGTATGACCCAAAAAGAAAAAAAAAATGCCACTGGGCAGTGAATGGAGGAAAGTGACCCTAGGCCCAGCAACTATAAGTTTGTCCTTGGGAGTGCTTCCTTTCTGGAAATTTCTAGAAACCACTGCTTCTGACACAGAAGAGGCCATCACTGCCTTGAAGTACCTACAAGGAAAGCCCTGGCCAGATCCTGGTTCATAGGCCAGACCGCAGGCGCCAGGGCCTTTGTCCTTTAAATAAACCCATTTCTTGGCCAGCTAAACTTGACCAAGTTCTTTAATCTTGCTGGTCTTTCAAAAGAAGACCAAGTTGGTTCATAGAATCAATCAATCAATCGCTTCCAGCTAGGAAACTCGTGATATGTCTGTGTTCTACCGTGCTGTCTGTAGGTGAGAGGCAGCAACAGGGGCAGAGGCGGGATGCGAGTCCTCAGTTGGAATTTCCCAAGATGGTTAAATAGGTATTGAAGGAAATCCAAAGGGTCATTTCTCCCACTGAGAAACAGCCAAGGCTCCTGGGGCTGGAAAGTACGTGCCTTGCATACAGCTGACCTGGGTTCAATCCCCAACATCCCACAGGCTCCCCCAAGCACTGTCAGGAGTGATTCCTGAATGCAGAGCCAGGAGGAACCCATGGGCACTGCTGGGTGTGGATAAAAAAATGAAAAGTTTTTTAATTTTTTAAAATCAAGGCTGGGTCTTTCCCAGTTCTGGAAGGCTAATGGAGGAAAAGTGTTAGAACCCACCTCCACACTGGCCCTAGGGATGCAAGGGACAGTGTGTCCTCCAGCTGGGAGCTGGCAAAAACTATTGCCTTTCTCAACCCATCCACCCACCAACTTAGTTATGTGCATCTGTTTCTCCTGTTGCGGTCATTTTACTCTTTATTGCTACCTGGTTATGCATTTTTTGTTTTTTTGGGTCACACTCAGCAGAGCTCAGGGTTAACTCCTGGCTCTATATTCAGGAATCACTCCTGACAGTTCGGCGGACCATATGGGATGCCGGGGATCGATTCAAGTCAGCTGCATCAACGCAAGCACCCTAGATGCTGTACTATCTCTCCAGCCCCCGCTGTGTATCTTTCAGTCCCACGTATGAGAGAGGTTATTCTCTACTTTTTCTTTTGAGTGACTTCCCCTAGTTTCATTCATGTTGCACCCAATTGCATTATTTTGTTCTTTCTTAAGAGCTGTATAACATTCTTTTTTGTGTATGTGCATATATATAGATGTGTGTAGGTGTATTATATATATTATTTCACAACTTCTTGATCCCTTCATACATATTCAAGCATTTGGGTTGTTTTCATATCTTAGCTACTGAACTAAGCGTGGCAGTGAACATAAGTTGTGTATATCACTGTATCACTGTCATACCGTTGTTCACCAATTTGTTTGAGCGGGAGCCAGTAACATCTCCATTCATCCCAGCCCTGAGATTTTAGCAGCCTCTCTTTACTCATCCTTCCTAACAGTGTCGCACTGGAGGCTTTTTCAGGGTCAGAAAAATGAGACCCATTCTTGTTACTGTTGTTGGCATGCATTCAAATTAATGTTTTTCTGTTTTGGGGATAGATGGCAAGAAGTAACAACCCTATTCGTAACAGTGCCTAGCTTTCCATGAAGGATGAGCTGTAGGGATCAGAAAAAGAAGGGGGAAGTCCTCATGGATGATATCAAACACAGCACAACTGCTGCCCATTAGAACATTTATTTCTCAGAGAGAAAATAAGTTTCCGACAGTCATATTATAGTAGGTAAAATTAACTTTTGTATTCTTTACAAGGCATAGATTTTTCTCTGTTTATTACCTCTCTTATACCATCTGTTATAAACAATTCTAGAAAGCAAATAAAGTCACTTTCTACAATAAATAGAGCATTGTGTGCTTCACAGCAGGCGCGACCGAGACACGCAGGCCCCATGCCACAGCAGGATCTGAGTCGTTTCCATTCTGAAAGAGCAGTTTCAAAAATGAGGCTCAGAGAGAGACGGAGAAAGTCCAACAGACTGGGGGGAAAAGAAAGAAAAGGAAGAGAGAGCAGCGGGGGGGGGGGGGGGGGGGAGAGAGAGAGCCCCAAGACCTTAAAACACAGGTTGAGACGAAGGTCACAGAGTTCCACAGCTGACCAACTACCTGGGGGAAGGGGAACGCATTGGCTCCTTTAAATAAACCACACTGTGTGCATTGGAAATACTCAGCCACACAATGGAGGATCCAGTAATGGAAGCTATAGACCTGAATAATTTAGAACAGTATTTTACAATTATATACACCATGTCCGTCCCTAACCATATGCTGCACTGTGTGTTCATTATTGTACAAAATCCAAAACCCCATCCTTTATGTTAAGAGAGTTTTGTTGGTTCCCTTTTAAACTCTGGCTCATGTCCCAAATGTGTAAGAAGTTGCAGTGGTCGGTTGGTCGTATTTTTACAAAGTCGAGTGTGTAAAAATGGCAGTGATCTCCCCAAGTGACGGTTTTAGTCCAAAACTTCCCTATGAAAAATTTAAAACAATTAAAAAGAACATCAGGTTAAATATTAACACGGCGCTCAGCGGCCTACAACCTGGCCCTGCGACTTTGGTGCTTAAGAAGTGAAAAGAAACATCCAGAGAACAGACGAGGAAGCCTCTGAAGGTTGGGTGGGTTCGTCAGTCATCAGTCAGCATTCCCTGTTTTTCACAGTTTGTTTTTTTTTTCCCTTCCGCATTTGAGAAGGTGAAAGTAGGGAAGGGGTTGAAGGAAGAGGGACGAGGACAGAGGGTTTGCAATACAGCGGCTGTGTTCCCTGAATCTGGAAGGTGGGAGCAGCAGAGGCTGGCAAGGCAGGGCACAGGACATGGAAGAAAGATGCCAGACCGCAGGCGCCAGGGCCAACTGTGGCGCCAAAACAGCGAGACCAAAGGCCCAGGTTACCACAAAGGAGAACCCATGGAGAGGAGAAATGAGAGGGCACATGCACCCCAACAACCCTCCTGCTCTCAGTGGGCAAATGTACACGTGTACAACCAGCCCGTCCTACTGACGGGAGCCTGACTGACCTCAGTCCCCCTCTCAGCAAGCCAGGGAGAGGGCCGCCGGCCCACGCCAAGGCAGCGGCGCGTCTGCAGCAGAGGAAGCAGGGGGATCATGTGCTGGTGGAAGCAGGGGTGGGGGGTGGGGGAGTCACCCGGGCGGTAGGCGGACCTCTGTGCTGGGCACTGCAGCGCCAGGAGGAGGCACTCACCTAACATAGCAGCTGGCCTCAAAGGGAATGAGACGTCAGAGAGAAGGAGTAATTTGGTGATGATTTCTGTCAGTTTGGCACAAGAAAAGGCAAGGGAAGGAGGGACGGGATGGGCAGAGGGGCAGAACATGGGGAAGAAGAGACGAGTGAGAATGGACAAAGGGGGTGGGGTAGCTCAGGGAGATGCCCCATGGGACCCCAGTGGCCCCACAGCACCTCTGGGTGCCTGGCTCACCCTCCCCCCCCATCAAGGTGAAGTCCGTTGGGAGTGTGGGAGTGGGATGGAGCGGGCCAGACACTCCCGTGGCTAAGAGCCCAGGCCCCTCCTCAATGGACCCTGGCTTGACGGCTTCCGAATTCTAGCGGGGTCTTCCGTGGATTTGCCAGGGAGCTCAGGGGGAGTTTTTGGCACACAGGAGGCCCACCAGAGGAACCATGTGGTTGGTGAGAACTGGGGCCTAGCCCTTGGGCAGGGAGGAGAGGGACGACACAAACACAGCCTAGTCCCTGGCCCGACACGAAAAGAGGAAGCTGCCAAGTCATTCCTCCATTGGGGCAGGAAGAGGCTTCTCCGGGCCCCCAGGAGACGCTGACCAGGCCCTGCCCTTACAGGTAGCTGGAAGTTACAAAGGAATGGGGGCCCCGAACTCGGCTCAGATGGATCATTGCTCGGTCATAGGCCACCTGCACTGACTTGCGGATGCTGGTCTTGCGGCCTTCGAGCATCTTGAGCTTGTCCACGGTGTCTTCCACTCCAAGGGGCAGGACTTTGTCCCTGGGAAGCCACTGCCTAAAACAGAAGCACAGGAAGAGGCCCAGGCTATGGTGGGCCCTGTGAGGAGGCTCCTCTATGCCCACTTCCCCAGGAGCAGCAATTCCAAAACGAGGGGAAAGGACAGGAGAGCAGAGGGGGACAGCGTGGGTACTTGCCCAGGGACCCTCTTCTGACCAATGCCCCCATCTCTTCTTTCCCCGAGACAGCTAAGGTTCGGGGACAGAGGGATGGCCCGTGAAGCCATCTGGGGTTCTGGGCCTCACCCTTGGGGAACAGGGAGCTAAGACAAGAAAGTGAGGCTCTTGTCTGCAACTGAAACCGATCTGTGACAGGGCCTGCACCTTGCGGTGTTCTGAAGAAGACCCTCGGGTGATACGAACAGGTGGTGACAAGGCAGCCCTGGGAGCCAAATCCCAAGCTGGCATCCCAGTTCTGGCTGGGCCATGTGCGGTGGTGGTAGGGCTTGGTTTTCTAGGCCTCAGCTTCCTCATCTGCAAAGTGGACTGTGTAAACTGAAGATCTGAATGAGAAGTAAGTGTAGTGGAGGTTGGTGAAGCCCTCACAGGAGCACAGAGGAAACACTTGGCCAGCGGCAGCGACTATCCTCAGTTACTCTCACTTTTTCACTAGCAAGTCGCTCCTCCTCCATGGACAGGAGCCGAGCTAACAGATTCTTCCGCTGCTGCTGCTGCTAAGTAAAACTTGAAGTTCCCAAGTCATGAGCCAGTTGGGCCCAGGCAAGTGACCCCAGCATGGCCCAGACTCCCCCTTAAGACTGAGACCTGTCCTCTTAGTCCCCTGTAGCTGCTGACAGGAGCTCAGTGAGGCTCTCTCCAGGAATCACCCGCCACCAAAGGAGCTGCCTGGTCCAAGTCTGCCCCACACCCCAGGGCTAGCCTGGAACTAGCTGACATAAGGGTACAAAGACACAGCTCTAATTCCTCAGTGGTTTATGAAGACCCAGCTCCAGAGCTCACCAGGGGGATCGGCTAAGGTCCCTGGAGGGTGGGCTCAGCACAATCTCTGCCCACAGCTGCACCCTTCCCTGACACTGCTCATCAGTGCTGTCAGTAACACTGAGTTCCTCTTCTGTGGCCACCGGCAGTAACACATCACCTTCACATGGATGAGGGAGGGTGACAATCCTGGAGGATCTCTCAAGCCTGTCAACTTCCTGGCTGCCACTTATCCCAACGTGGGCCCCCCCTGGGCAGTGCTGTCACTCACCAGGTGCGCTTGTTGTCAAAGAAGAGGACAAGGAAGAGCTTCTCTCCAGCCTCGGCCTGTTTCTGCTCTCCCAGCTTCAACACATCCAGTGGGGGGACAGGGATGGGGACCCCATTGTGCAGGAGGCCCTCCCGGGGCATCTTGGGATCGATGATCTAGAAGCAAGAAAGAAAGTAATATTCAGCTTGGGGGGGTATATGGGGCAAGTAGGGATCCCTGCCCCAGGATTGGCTGCTGAACCATGGAGGGGGCTGACCTTTTCCATGACCCTCGGCACCCCAACATAGAAACGTTTCTCCAGAGGATTGCCCTACCCTCTAGCCTTGTCCAATCAGATCTAATGAGAGCATGTGGTCCGCAGGGAGGCCCCCAAGTGAAGTAAGTAATGGAAAGCCAGCAAGAGGGGATGACAACTGAGTGGCTGTCTCCAATGTTCAGGCCAGAGAGCTCAACTCCTCCCTCCCAATGTGCCCTGGGCAAGAGTGAAGCTGCTTTGGTTTTTGACCTGTTTCTCCTCTGCCATTTCCCCCACAGAACCTGTGCACTTCAAATACTTAAGGACCTCCCTTCGTGGCCCAGAGGCAGGTTCTGCAACAGCTGGAGGGCTGCATCCCTTCAAGTCCACCTAACTGAGCTATGGCTGTCCACCCCTTTCCTAGGTGAGACATCATGGGAAGGGCTGAGAGAAGCAGGAAGAGCGAGTATGGATCACTGGAGAATGGAGTGTTGGAAACGGTGGTCACTGGGAGAATTAACCCACAAGATCACAAACTCCCCAAACGCTTGGTGGTATCAACACGCTCATTCTCTTGCTCTACAGAGCGCTGACAGTTACCACAGCTCCTGATTACTCACTCTTCACCATCTCATTTCATCCTCTAGCTGATGCTGAGTTCGCTGACAGAGGAAAGCACCAGGCACAGAAGGATGTAGCTGCTGAAAGTCAGGCTGTAACTAAATAAATCCAGGTGGCCAGACTAGGCTTAGGCCTCTGCTGCCTGCCGCCTTTTCCTCAGTCCCAGGTTTTGAAGCAGTTCGCTGGTAATCATCTTTGTGCACTAATGCCAGGAGGCGGCAAGCTTACTAAGGAAGCAGTTTCCTCCAGAGACAGGACAATCTTAATTCTTATACCCTGTACTCCAGAGGCCTCTTCTAATAAACTGCTCTCATTATTTACCTCTGGGTGTCTGCCAGCTTCCCTGCATCCCCCTCAAGATAAGCTGCTAAAAGCAGGTGTTCTGTTAAAGAGTTCAAGGAAGAACCACCCTAACCTGTCCCTGGCAGCGTGACCAGGACAAAGTATTTTCCCCCAGTCATCTCTCCTTCCCGGGATTAGACCTCAGGGTTCTAGAGAGATCCGAGCCTCCTAAGTTTCCCCAATTACAAAATGGTGGGGATATTCTGATAGTTTCCTTTGGATCAAACCAAGCTGATTCCTACTGGGAATGTAATGTAGATTGTGAATGATGTTCCTTCAGGATAGAGACAAGAAGGGTAAATCTGCCACTTTTAGGGAGTGCTCCTCCCTTCTTAAAGTAGAGGCCAGTAAGTCCCAAAATAATCAGCAATGATCCAATCACTCAATGTGGTTTATGGAGATGTAAAACATGGAAATAAAGCTTAGCATAAAACTGAACAGATGCTGGAGGCAGGGGGTGGAGGGGGGAATGGCTGGAGAGACAGCATAGTGGGTAGGGTGCGTGTTTTACATGCGGTCATCCCAGGTTTGATCCCCAGCACCCCATACGGTCAGTCCCCTAAGCCCCTCCAGGAGTGACTCCTGAGCGCAGTCAGGAGTAAGCCCTGAGCACAGCCAGGTATGGCCTGGAAACAAACAAAAAATTTACACTAGGCTGGAGAGGAGGTACAATAGGTACAGAACTTGCCTTACCCATGGCCAACATGGGTTTGATGCCCAACACCCATATAGTCCCCTAAGCCCTACCAGGAGCAATCACTGAGCTCAGAGCCAGGAGTAAGCTCTGAGCAGTGCTGTGTGTGGCCCCAAAACAAAAACAAACATACAGAAATTTTACGGTCATGGTTACGGTCCTCCCATTGTTCATCGATTTGCTCGAGCGGGCCCAGTAACGTCTCCATCATGAGACTTGTTGTTACTGTGTTTGGCATATTGAATATCTCATGGGTAGCTGCCAGGCTTTGCCATGTGGGCGAGATACTCTCGGTAACTTGCCAGGCTGTCTGAGAGGAATCGAACCCAGCTCAGCCAGGCCGGCTGTATGCACGGCAAACGCCCTACTGTTGTGCTATTGCTCCAGCCCACAAAAATTTTAATATATAATAAATGCATGATTTAGAGCTCTACATAATAAATAGGAGTAATCCAAAATGCATACAGTCAACATCTTAGAAGGAAGGGTTTGTGCTGCTTTTCTGTATTTTTCCAAATATCTATCATGTAGATCACTACTTTTATAAAACAAAACAAAACAAAACATTTTGGGTGGGTGGACAGGCCACACCAGGCAGTGCTCAGAGGTGCTCCTGGCTCAGTACCTGGCAGACTGTGCAGTACGGAACATCAAACCTGGGTCTCCTGCAAGCCGAGCACACACTCAGCCCACTGGGTCATCTCTCTAGCTACCAAAATAAATTTTTAAAAAACAAGATATTCAGGAGTCAGAGAGTACAGGGGTTATGGAGTTTGCCTTGCATGCATCTGACTCTGGTTCGTCCCCAGCAACACATGGTCCCCTGAACACCATTTGGCAGCAACCCGAGCACTGCTAGCGTGGCCCCCAAACAAACAAAAATTGAAAGCAAGAGTTAAAATGGAAATAAAACAAAAATAAATATCCCTTAAAAACTATATATTAACAATAGACAAAAATACATGTTTTAAGTCTGAATAGGAAAATGCCTAGGAGAACATGTACCAAATAAAACACAGACAGTCTTCAGGTGGTGGGATCCTCATATTGTGAATAAATTATTTTAATTATTTTATTTCATTATTTTAATCACAAAAGAAAAAGTTGGATTAACAAGACAACTGAAGATTTTTAGGAAAAGAGTTTGTTTTTCACTTTTTGCATTGTGAGATTAAAAAAAAAAAAACATAGCCTGAGTAATTTTTCTGAGGCTGATGAACTGGGGTCGTATGAGTAGGCCAAGAAGGCAGTTCCACACCCAACCTCCTCGGTGGCCCAATCTCAGTGCAGTTTTCCCAGGAGTCCCTGCTGAGGGAGTAAGGCCAACAACAAGGGATTCAACAAATTATGGAGCTGTAGTTTCCTCAACAATTCAAAAAGGATCTAAGCACCTGCCCTCTTTAAGTAGCTACTGTGAGACTTGAAAGAGGCACAGACATGAAAGAGGTGGGAGGAGCAGTTTTGTGTGTACACGTGAGGTAGGCAGGCGATTCTCAGTCCAGCTACTGATTTCCTGTACAAAATACTCCTGTCAGGCAGGCGAGAGAACTTAAAGAGGTGGAGGTACAAGCTTACAAACATGAGGCCCAGTTTGGTTCCCACTATCACATGGTCCCTGTGATCACCACTGGGTGTGGTCAGGTGGCCCTCTGGCACTAATGGGCATGAGGGCACCGTATCACCAGACCCATATACTGAACTATCAGGCCTCCATCAACGGGAGTGGTCCTGGACCTCAACAATACTAGAAGGACCCCTATTTAAAAGAGAAAAATATTTCATGTCTCAGTCTGGCCTTACAGAATCTAATTTGTTATCTCTGAGATGGGGCCTTAGTTTCTATATTGTTTAAAAAAATATCCCAGGGCTGGAACGATAGTACAACAGATAGGGCACATGTATTATACAAGGATGACCCAGGTTTGATTCCCAGCATCACATATGATCCATCAAGCACTACCAGGAGGAACTCCTGAGTGCAGAGCCAAAAATAATATATGAACACTGCTGGGTGTGGGTTCTGCCCACCCCATCCCCCAAAAATATCCCTTCCCAGAGAGAAAGGGCCCGGAAGGTGACCCAAGTGCCTTACTGAGATCCTGAGCTGACTCCTGCCCTTGGCCTCTGCTGCCCATGTGCCAAGGTTATCCGGAACACCTCCAGCATCTGAAAATTTCTCCAAATGATTCTTAAGGTTTAGAATTAGTATCTTCCAAGGCTGGCCATCTGACCATTGCCTTCCCTATATACAAAAAGCGCTAAGACGTGCTACTGAGGTGAAATAGAAAATTTTGTTAATGCTGGTGGGAATAAAATCTGGAACTACCTTTATAAAGGGCCACTTGGTGACTTGTATCATAATTGTGCATACACTTTTCCCAGGAAGGCACTCCTAAGAATTCACTGTAAAGAGACAGTCATGGTTGTGCACAAAAGGAAAACTAACGCCATGTTTACTGCCAGTTGTTTACCATAGTGAAACACTCAGAGCAATCTCAAATGACCAACTGGGATATGGTTAAAATAAGGTACACACATACAAATGAAGACAATGCAGTCATTAAAGTAATGTTGATGAAGAATGCTTAATGGCCTGAGACTTGCCTGTTTACGGTTTAGGCTAAAAGCTGTTAAGTGAACGGGAGGTTAAATTGTCTCATACCTATACATGAAACAAACAAACAAAAAAGGCTGAGTGGATAACCAAAGAGTTATCTCTGAATAGATGGAATTGAGACTATGTATGATTCTGAACTCAGTGGCTAGAACACAGGCTTTACAAATCACATATTTTGAGTGCTAGCTGAAATTCCAACCCTGCCACGTAACAGCTAGCTGACCATGGGTAACAGAGCCTTAGTTATCTTCCCTATAAGATAAAGAGAACTAAACCTCTCTCAGTAGTTCAAAAAATTAGCACAACTAACATTCAATAAAGCATCTAAGCATTACTAGCAGCTTTTAAAATTCTCAATGAGCACATTTTTATGCAAAAGCAGAGAAAAGCTATTAAATTCCTAAGAGCCCTAGTCTCTGTTGAGATACTTTAGCCTGTTTTAAGGGTCACAGGCTGGAAACCTCACTGGGTTGCCCCACCCACTCGGGGGTATTACCTCCCTCCCTTCTGCAGCTCAAGGCACCCTGATTCCCACCACTCTGCTGGCTTGATCCAATCAGATAAGCCCCCAAGGCAAGGCAGCGGAGGGAGGGTGGCGTCTGGGGCAGACTCACCAAGGCGGGATAGGAGGGATAGCCTCGGCACTTGGCCCACACCAGCTCCAGGGGCTCCAGGTCTCCGCAGTCTTCAAAGGGCATCAGGAGGCTTCTGCCTGGGGGTGGGGGAGGGGAGGAGACAGTGCCCAAAGGGACTTGGAATGGTGCCCAGAAGGCCTGCCCTCCAGTTAACTGGGGCAGCCCAAGAATGAGTCAGCGACATCCCCTCCACCCTTTCCTTAGAAGTTCTTAGACTAGATCAGGGGTTGGCAAACTTGTTCTGCAAAGGCCCCAAGAGTAAATACTTTAAGTTTTGTGGGCCACTTGGTCTCTGTTGTAAGTACAGTTGTCCCTCGTGGCCTGCAAGGGACTGGTTCCAAATAAGATTCCTGCAAATGTCAAAATCCAGCGACGCTCATGTCCTTCATATAAAATGGTGTAGTACCTGCACTGAACCTACTGCTCAATCTCCCATATCGTATCTCTAGGTGACATATAATACCTAATGCAATGTAAATTCTGTGTCACTAGCTGTTACACTATACTGTTTAGGGAATAAAGGAAAAAATTCAGCATATGTTCAGTAAAGATGGAAACATTGCAGGTCTACCAATATCATATGATTTTTGAACTGAAGTTGGTTGAATCTGTGCATGTAGAATCCATGGGTATGGAGAGCCAACTGTATTAATTCTGCTATTAAAGCATGAAATCTATCATTGATAACCAATAATTGCGTGTTTTTAATACTTTTACTTTTTTGATGCTGAAATTTGGATTTCATGTAATTTCACATTCTAAACAGAAATCCTTGATTTTTCTTTCCAATCATTTGAAAAAATAAAAACCACAATTAGTTCACAGGCCCTTACCAAAACAAAAAACCAACTATAGTTTGCCAATCTCTGGACTAGTACCCTCAAATGACGTTCCTTCCACTGCTTCACACCAGGGGTACATGAAGAAGAATCACAACCCAGTCTGGCCAAGCCACAGACTCCAAATCTCCCTGAAGAGGGAAACCTCATGACGGAGGCTTCTTGGAAAAAGATGTCTGGGAAGGACATACAGTGAAACCACTTGCTAACTGACTTCTTTCCTTACAGGGTTACGCCAGACAATCTAGGTTACCCAGCTGTGTAACACTCAACAGAGCCAAGAGGTCTACAGTTCCTTCTCGTATCTGCTTTTGTCAGATCCTGTGCTAAGGGATCTGCCATGGGCAGGCTCTGCCTCTTAAGCTTACTTTGTTCTGCACCCAGCGTTGCAACACACATCCATGAATGCGGAACAAATGCTTCCACTCCGGAAAACTACCTTCCCTTCCTGACATCCAGAGACTGGGAACGCAGAAGTGATCACTCTCATCAGGGATAAGGCCCAAATTTCAGAGTAGAAATCATGTTTCTAAAGAAACATTAGTTTCCTCATTTACAGTTTGTAAAAACTGCACTATAATAATAATGAAGTATTATTTTGTACCTATTGACTCAATAGCAATACAATGAAAAGACAAAATTCAATCCTGAAAAGGCAGCTGTGGGAAGCTGTTGTAATCATCCACTGCTGAGGAAAGTGCAGATCAGTGCAAGCCTTTCCAACTATTATTTGGCAGTATGTCTCAAAAGCCACACACCAAAAAAGTATGAATATCTGCTCTAATTAATTTCTGGAAATTTATTCTAAGAAAACTAAAGACAAAAGGATTTTTAAACAAAAGTTTGTGTTCACAACATTTTGTAAATATGCAGTGAACCTTACGTATATAATGTTAAAAGTTGGAAATAACCCAAATGTCTAACACTAGAAAGATTACATAAAATAAAATGCATCAACTGGAAGATACTTTGTTCCAGTAACATGAGATATATAAAGATCATGTATCAACCTAAAATAAGTATGAAATAACACTGAAAAAAGGAGACTACAAAAGAACATGTGTTTTGGATATCATTTTGTGCCTGAAATAGCAGAAGGCAATACAGAGAAATGAAAACAACGGTGTTTAAGTGATGGGACAGTGGGAGGTCGATTTTCTCTTAAAATTCCCTTTGGCATTATTTTAATCAATATTATGTGTTGAAAAATAAAACAAGAATTCACTGTCACCAGCACAAAGCATATACTAATTTGCTTCTGGTTTCGAGCTAGGTGCTGTACAAATTCATCTATGAGCCCTGCCTTCTAGGCACTGACAGTCAGACAGGAATGAAACACACATGCATGCATTCATCAACATACACAAGAGAAGGAAGCTGATGCTGCAGGAAAATAAAGCAGGTAGGGAAAGGAAGGAGGAAAGAGAAGGCCTGAAGTCTGCCTGTTAGATGGAAGCATCCAGGAGCCCAAGCCCCCATCCAAGTACTGACAGAGGTAAGCCAAGAATAGCCTGCTCTGTACCTGTTCCATCTACTCACCATCCTACCTCTCTCCTTTGGCCTTTCCCTACCCTTAAGTTCCCTTGGTCTAAGGAGACTCATGGATATTACCATGTGGATCAGGTGGAGGAGAATGTCTCATGAGGAGAGGGCCAGACGCATCAAATTACAAGAGATTATAGTTATGGATGAGACTCAATGATGCAGGCCATCCCTGAACACTCCAGGAAGGGCAGCCTGGCAATAACTATTGAAGTTACAAATTCATACTTCCTTCAATACGGCAACCCTACTTCCACAGATATGCTCCCCAAAGGCAGAAAATGTTCTCTGTACAAGGCTACAATCACTATAATCACTGCAACACTGAATAAAACAAAAAAATGATAATTTAAACATCTGTCTACGATAGAAGGTTGGCTAAGTAAATGACAGCATTCTGAGGTGGGATAGTAGGCAACCAATTAAAAGTACAGAAGGATATATGACTTTTACATAATAGTAACAGGGGAAAAAAGGATATAGCAGAACACACACATATATATTAGGCTTCTCTATTCACTCAAATATACACACATGTTTTTGCTTGTTTATGTATGGATTAACATTTGGAAGGACACCAAAGAAACTCTTAACAGTGGTTATTCCAGGGAGGCAAGAGGGGCCTTTGTATTTTATTCCATTTTGTGCCTCTGATTTTAATTCCATGAGTATGTATTCCTCATTCAAATTTAAGTAATTTCTTTTGGGAAAAAAAAAATGATAGGAATGAGCTGGAAGTGAGGGCCATTTCCCTGCCTAGTGCCCAAGGTTTGGAGAACTCAAGGGTTAACTGTACCCTGCAGCCTGGGCTCTGTGGAAAGCCCAATGCCCAACGCCCTCCATCCCCCTCCACCAATACACTACTCCTCACCTGAGCCATTGTAGTCAGAGTCTCCATTCACACCCTCCAGGAAGGGTACTCGGGACAGGGCTGGTTTCCCACGGCTGCGTTTGGGGGGCGTCAGGCCACTACACACAGAGCAGGGGAGAAAGAGGCAAAATGAGCCCTTTCAATGACTATACTTGCTTTCCCATCTCCGACAGGAGTGGAGTTGCAAAACCCTTTAAGCATTTTGCTCCCAGAATGACCCTAACTTACCACACAATCATTCCTACCCATTTTTTTTTTCTCCTGAAAAAAACTCCCATGAGGTTCTGAGGAAAAATATCACTCGGGTGACAGGACAGAACCTACAAGGAGATGCCTGCTCCCTGATACAGAGTTCACCTAGACCAGGGTTTCCCAAAGTGGGAGAAACCTCCCTGTCCTCCTCTCTGCCCCTGCCCAGGGGGCACTGGAACGATGAGTGGTGGGGGTGGGGCGAGGTGGTAGTAGTTTGGGGTACAAATGCAGGGGATATTTCTTTTTGTTCCTTTAAAGAAGATAGATTTCCAGGGGGTTACTGAGTGATTTTTCTAAAGAGTGTGGCAGGCACAAACCTTTCCAAGTCTAAGTGGTCTGACCATGCATGTGACCATCCCCAGCTGACCTAAATTCTTTACTCTGTGGTGTACATTGCTATTTCTTTAAAATACCAATTTTATTTTTGAGGCTCAAATATGTCTCTTTCCCAGATTTTCTTGTCTCACTTCCTTAATTAGAAAAGACATTTTTAGATTGGAGGGGAAAAAAAGATCCACTTCTCACTTCTACTTTAAGTATGTGAAGTTTTTCTTAGATAGAGATGGATTTTCTATTTTTTAAATTAACAAGTACACTGATGTATTTTTTAAGATGACTGCAAGGAGTTGACCAAAAAATAGACCAAGGCTAAGAGGCAAAAATAAGATTAGTAATAACAGAGTAAAGGTATATCTGTGACTCACCCAGTTATCAGTATTTTTACATAGTTCCCTAAGCAATTCTAATGTAGACTCATAACTGGAAGCCTATGAGCAAAAATAACAGGGCTAGGGCTCTTTTCCATCAACTTTTAAAATATTATTGCTATGTGTTTCAACATGAAAAGAAAAAATTATTAGAAAAAAAAAGGTCAATAATCTGTAGTACAAAAAACTAAAGAAGCCCCCTGATGGGAAGGATGGTGGAAAAAAAACAGCCTTCCTTATCCATCAGGCTGAGCATGATCTCCAACATGGAAAGTCATCCTTGGCCTGGCCCGGGTACTGGCACTCAACAGTACCTGCCCAGTCTCAGGGCTAGCAACTAAAGCCTGATCTCCCTGGACTCACCTTCCCAGTGGAATTAAAAATCCTCTGTAAGTGGACAGGAGACATGGCTTTGCTTTGGGTGCATCCAAAAGCAAATGATGAGACAGTCAGATGAGAACCATCATCTGGCACACAAACCCCGAAGGACAATGACTTCTTACAAATTCAGCATGGGTTCAACAGTGGACCATTTGGAAGGCCTCCACCCAAAACCCATATTCTGGATATCACCATCGCTCTTCAAGTCCCTAACTTTTTTTTTTTTTTTTTTGCTTTTTGGGTCACACCCAGCAATGCTCAGAAACTACTCCTGGCTCTGCACTCAGGAATTACTCCCAGCGGTGCTTGGGGATGGGATGCCGGGGATTGAACCTGGATCATCTGCATGCAAGGCAAACACCCTACCCACTGTACTATCACTCCAGCCCCAAGTCCCTAACTCTTACAGGATAAACTACTCTGCATTAGTCGGAGAGTCAGAGCTAACCACTGGCTCTGCCCACAGTCTTCATCTTCGGCCTGCCCCCTCACAGGTGCCTGACAAAATCCCCAGCACCCAGCAGATACCATCTCCTTTGTTAGTTTTGTAACAACTTGTGTAAATGGTTGGCAGAGGATGTGAAAATGACCATCCAAAGTGCTATCCTGAGAATACATTCTGGACTCTTCTACTTCACAGTTAAAACATTGCCACATTTGAGCACATCAACTATATTTTGTACTAGAAAAAAATTATCTTCTTTTCTTTAAGTTTTGATACCGATAATAATTTTTAGACTCCTCCCCACCTTCACCTCCATCATTTCATTTTAAAATAACCTGGCACTTTGAGATCTACTCAGGGCAATGCCACCACAAACACTGTGATTTAAAACTGACTAATTTAATTTGATTTAAAATTGACTAATTGCAGTGAAAGCAAAGCCAGTTTTAAGAGAACTAACTTGTCAGCTCTCGAGTCACTGAAAATAGGTTTCCCCATCAATTGGATGAAAATCAGGAAAACCTTTGCCCTGGCTGACTCCAAAACAGATGAAAATGTCAATGTTTTGCTTCAAATCCATGTAGAATAAAACAATATTGCATATTGCTTAATAAAAAAAAAGTACTGATGAGATAAGAAGAGGAAAAGGTTAGGGCCGGTGGTCGCGTAGGGTATTCCTGTTTAACTGACTCATAACTGACTTAACCATTGTCTTTTACAGAAAAGCCTGTACAATCAGAGCCCAGTGAGTCATATTCCTTCAGTAACTAGCAGGACGGGAACTTTTATCCTGCTCTTCAAAATTAGGACCTATTTAGAAGGAAAATAACACTGGCACCCAGTTCACATTTAGCAGTTCACACTCACTCTACATAAATGTCACTGGTCTCAGGCCAAGCTCTCTGAGGATATACATGAATGGAAGGTAGCAGGAATTTTATCAGGAAAAAATTAACATGGATCGAGAGAAATAGTTTCAAACACAACAAGGCAGCCCCCACTAGGTTGTTAAGAGAGAAACTCTAAGCTGCACTACCTGGGTTCAAGACTTAACTCTTCTACTCATTAACTTGTTCTGTGACACTAAGCAAGTTACTTAACCTTTTAAAGGATTATGAAGGGTTTATGGATTAATACATAGAAAGTACATGGTACAACACATACCTAGTAGACAATAAATGGCAGTTACATAAGAAATATTATGGGACTGAAAAGAGAAACAGAGGATCGGGCGCTTGCCTTACACACGGGCAACCCGGATTTGATTCCCAGGCGCCTTGTAGGAGTGATCCCTGAGCACTTCTGGGTATAGTACATACACACACAAACACACGCACACACACACACACTTAAAAAAAAATCAAACAACAAAAAAATATTACTAGTGAATTGATTTTTTAAAAAAATCACTAATAAGGAGCTGGAGTGATAGCACAGAGGGTAGGGTGTTTGCCTTGCACTCAGGATTGATTCCCAGTACCCCATATGGTCCCCTGAGCACCACCAGGAATAATTCCTGAGTGTAGAGCCAGGAGTAACCCCTGAGCATCACCGGGTGTGATCCAAAAAGCGAAAAAAAAAAAAAATCACTAGTAACTTCATAATTCATGGTCAATGTCTCACTTGGGGCAGGAGTCCTCAGAAGTGCTTGGGGACTTTGGGACCACTCCCGGCAATACTTGGCCCGGTTGTGCAAGCTCAAGCCAGGCAGTGCTGGGAACAACTGGGGCAACACCCGGCAGTGCTCGGATCTTATCCCCAAACTAAATTTCAAAGAAGACTATTGTTATGATGTCCTCCCAAAACGCGAAGGGTGAAGACATGTCTGTAGTTAGCTGGGTTATCTAAGTGGGCCAGGGCAGGCAGGAAGGGTTGAGGTCGCTGGCTCACTTGCTAACTACACTGAGCAATACTCAGCTGTCCCCACCCTTTGGAGTCAAATTCTGCCACAAAAATCCTATAAAACATTCAGGCTCAAGGGAGACTGGGGGCAGGGCGTTTTCCTTGTATCCCGTATGGTCCCCAAGCACTGCCAGGAAGTTCCTGAGTGCAGAGTCAGGAATAACCCCTGAGCACTGCCGACTGTGGCCCCCCAAAAACAAAAAAACCCAACCAAACAAAAAAGCCGTATCAGGACTCGTTCCCTTCAATAAGACCAGTTATGAGAATCAAGAGTTACACATTTTCTTAGGAGTCACCAATTACAGATCAGATGCTTCAGGAAATAGCCAGGATGGGGGGAAAAAAATAAACACGCTAAGAAAGCAAGAGGTCCAACCTGTACCTGAACTGAGAATAAAGAGTGGTCTCTAGAGTGGCTAACAAAGCTTTGGGGACAAATGTTCTTACCTGCAAGCTTCAAATGCCAGTCCACCACTGAGACCCAAACTACATTCTGAGTCAGACCCACTCTCAGCGTGTTTTCCAAAGCCGTTAGTCACACCTGCCAAGGACACACACAATGAGCCTAAGAGCTAAGACCCTCTTCCCACCCCCCCATCCCCCCCATCTGCAGCCTGAGGCAGCTACCCCACCTCGAGAGCGCTCCCTGAGGAAGACTGGGGAGGGACGCTGCTTCTCCGAACTTTTGGAAAGCGAAAAGTACTTGGATGGTAAAGAGAAACTAATAAAGGTTTGAGGGAATACTGTCAGCTCGGGAAATGAGCAGACACTGCATTCTGCTTTCCAATCCTTCCAATCCTTCTGGTTTCACTTTAAAAAACACCAGGGCACAGTTCGCGCCATTTACTGTCAATTGATTTCAAAGGGAAATATTATGACTTCCCCACCCCAGCTGGCTCACAATTCCCCGGTTTTGTTTCTAATTTCGATCCTCAATTATCAGGGAGTCTCCTGTGCCTCTGGGGAGGCCACCCACCTTGACTCTTGAGATAAACACTCACACACCCTATCTGTCACACGGCTGGCAGCAGCCTGCACCATTCTTTGGTGATACTGTCAGGGAAGGCTGGGACAGGATAAGGACTTTGTCAACCACACCCTGAGATATCTAGTAGAGCTAGTCTGTGGAGAATGGGGGAGGGACTGTTCAACAAACTAAAGCCGTCCACGCTTACTTCCCTAGGATGGAGAATCACAATTCCCTGAGTGCCAGATTGGACTTGGAGCTACAGATCCCCTTTCCTCCTCACACTGACTTTGTAAAGTAAAGCTAATACCTCCTTACTCATGAAGGACACCTTTAAATATGGATGAGAGAAGGTCTGTTGACAGCAAGGAACATTTCAGAAGCCAATTGCAGAAAATCTGGTCATCCCGGGTTCATGTTTCTCAAGTGCTGTGAAGGCTTCAACTCTCCTCTCAACAGCTGCAATTCCTAACTACAGTCCAGCCTACAAGTCTGATCACTAAGCGAAGAAGAGCTCAATAGTTTAAATCACAGACCCCTTAGCCACAGACTGGAGGCAAGTTGTACCAGTAAGGGCAGGTGTCCAAGAGAAAAACAACTGATTTTGACCTGGCTCTGCCTTTAACACAATGACCTGATTCAAAATGATCAAAACCAGCTAGCTGTGCTGCAGGTGCCTCACCTGCAAAATATCAACAGCTAGGCCGGTGGGAAGGAATAGATTCTGGAAGTTTCCCCAATGAGTGGGCCCTGTCAGATAGAATGTGACTGAGGTCTAGTTTATTTCCCTGCAGCAGGATTTTCCATTCTTAGGGCATTGTTTTGGTGACACCAGATATAACTAACAGGATGTCATCAACAACTGTAACCAACGATTGTAAGTGCTTTATACAGATTACTTCCATATCTTTAAGAGATCAGCAAGGTAGGTACAACTAGCTTTATATTGGAAATATGTTCGTTTAACTGGTGCCCCTGAGGGCACAGTTCGTAGAGGATGGGATCTGAAGTTGGGGGTCTGCCTAACTCAGATCTCAAGTTCCTGATTCTATTTATCTACTTGATGACCTAAAAGAGGGACATTTGGCTAAATGGGAAAGGGAGGTACTGCTGCAAAGAGTTAGGCAAGACAGATAAGCAGAAAAAAGCATATGCCAGCCACACAAACAAAAGCCACTACAACGAAGGGAAATAGGAGCGAAAGTCAACAATAGCTCATTCCCAGCGGGGCAAGCCAGCCTTATCCCACACCAAGATTAAGTTATTCTGTCAGTGGAGGCCTTGCACACCCTAGTCCACCTCACCCATCTACCCTTGATTCCCGATGCTCTGCCAAGCCCCTCTCTAAACTGTCCCTGTTTTCCTCATTCCTACCTGCCTGGGCCCATTGCCTGCTCCTCTCCTTTTCTATTCTTTCCTCATTCCCCAAGGACAGCAAGAGATCATCTCCTTATAAAGCCTTCCCAAATCCTCAAACCCACAACACTGCTGTCACCTGACATACCCACATGCCACAAAGACTGACAACACCTCAGGAGGCCTTTCAGTCTCCCCACTGAACTGTGAGCTCTTTCCTAGCTGGAACTGAGTATGACTTACTTCATTATGCCCCAGTAACCATGTGGGGCTGGACCTATCATAAGGACTTCTAGAGATGGAGCCCCCATGACCTATCTCAGGGGCCACATCGAGCCCACTCCAACTAACACTGGTGCCCTCACTGTTCCCTGCCACTGTTCCTCCAACTATAAAAGCTGGAGCCTGACTAGTATTTAGTCTCTCCTTTTAGATTAAGTTCTTGCCCACAAATGCCCAAATAGCAGAATCCTTCAATTCCTTCAGATCTTTACTTGAATGTCACTTCTTCAGGTGGCATCCCTTGGTACTGTCTCTACTGCCACCACTACATGCCTTCACCCCTTCCTTGTGGGACACTATTCATAGTTTCTACTACCAGCAACATTTTACTCATTTCTTTTTAGCCTCATTCCCCTACAAGGTTCACTGACTTTCCCATCGTCCCCAATCCAGAAAAATGTCTGATATATGAGATGAATTAAAATGAAGGCAAGTAATCATTTTATCATATATAGCTTTTTATCCCTCTCAGGTCAAAGAACGCCCCACATCTGATCTGACTCATCCGTGAGCTTTGGAAATCTTAATGCAACTATGGCTTCCCTAGGGAGGCCATTATAGGGTAGTGGCTGGCTGGGGGCAGACGCTGGCTGGTAAGCAAAGCAGGAAAGCAGATGAGAAGTAGAGAAAGAAGTCACAGGCAGGATCACCTGTCTCTTCTTCCTGCTTGGGGGATCTCTCCCCTTCACTCTCACTACAGCTCCTGCTCCTTGGCCGCTTCCGGGAGTGCCGTTCATCCTCGATGCCGGTGGGAGAGGCAGGTGAGCCCACCTCACTGTGGTCCTCGCCATTCTCCAGGGCCCTGTCTGGACTCCTCTGTAGTTTAACTCCATTCTTGGCCTTCTTGAAGAGGACTGATGTGCGGCGCCCCACACCACTTAATGGGACACCAGAGGGAGTATCAGGGGCCATGAGAGATAGTCTGTTGATGTCATTGTCATTAAAGAGACGTTGCAAGGGCTCACTCCCTAACTGCAGGGGTGATTTTTCCGAGAGTTCATCTTCTTCCACCTTTCTGGGCTTTAGGAACCGACATGGAGGTTTGCTATCATTGATGGGTTTCAGAGTGGGGGGATCCGGAGGGGATTCTTGTTCAGATAAGGAAGGTGCAGGCCCAGTGGGTTCGAGGGTTGGTGGGGGAGGTAGTTTGGAGTCATCTGTTAGAGAAAAGGAGAATCTGCTTGAACATTTTAGAAAAAGTCTCTCCCTACAAGCCAGATAAGGACACTGTTACAGAACCAAAACCAGGGGCAATTATAACAGTTTACATACACCCTAGGTCTCAGGTCTGAGGCAAAGAAAATATAGGACTTAATTTTATCTACACTAGTAGTTTTGAATCCTGACTATGTATCAGAATCAATCACTAAGATTCTTAAAAAATAATCCTGATTATGTATCAGAATCAATCACTAAGTTTCTAACTCTGAGAGCTAGGGAGACAGCTCTGAGAACTGAAATAAAAGGCTGATGCATAAGGCCCTAAGTTTGATCCCCAGCACTGCTAAATACAGCCCTGATGGTCCTCAAGCACCACCAGGCCTGAGCAGCATTAAGTCACAGGACCCAAGAACCTACCATCAGGCCCCCACTAATAGGTGCAGAATTAACAGATTGGCTCCTTGATCTAAGCATAGATGTGGTCTCACCGCCTTCTCCCACTCCCTATCCCTTCTATCTAATGATCTAATTCCAATGGTCTCATCCCAGATCAAATGTAAGAAATCCCTAAAGATCACATATGTTTTTTAATTTTTTAAATTTTATTTACTTATTTAGCTTTTTGGGTCACACCTGGAAATACTCAGGAATTACTCCTGGCGGTGCTTGGGGGACCCTATGGGATGCTGGAAATCAAACCCAGGTTGGCCGCATGCAAGGCAAACGCACTACCCGCTGTGCTACCGCTCCAGCCCCACATATGTTTTCTTAAAGGCTTACTAGATAAGTCTGAATTAAAGGTTAACAACCACTGCTCTATACCTCGAGTGGGCCCAGTAACGTCCCCATTGGAGACTTTGTTGTTACTGTGTCTGGCATATCGAATACGTCACGGGGAGCTTGCCTATATACCTAAGGAAGTCAAAAGCTACCCACTTAAGTACTTATTAAGTAAATCTGAGCTTCACAGATTAGAGGGTCTACAGACTATCACTAGTCTATTAGAGTGTTTTTATGCCTCTCAGGTCAAAGAAAGTCCCAGTGTTTTTCAATTTGTTAATATATTTTGCTTATCATTCAAGTGAAGCAAGTAGATTAAGTAAAAAGAATAGGTTTACAAATGTGAGAAAATGAGATCAAGGGGGAAAAAATTTAAAAAATGAGATCAAGTAAGTTAAATTAGTGGTTCCTGACACATCCCAAACAATAACTGTCCACTTGCTACCTTGAAACTTTTTTAAAATATTGAGACTCCTAAGGCACAGTTCAGACTTCCTTTAGCCTGAATTTGGGAGGTGAGACATAGAAATTTTGTTTTGAAGCACTCTAAAGTCACTAAAGCCAGTCTATTGGGCATGACCACTACCACAGCCCAGATAGGAGCAAGTTGGCAGACTGACTGACATATAAGGCATCAGGAAGATCACATTAATACCTCTAATGTCGAGTATAATCTCTTAACCCTGTTCCCTTTCTCTGTCAAACTAAAATAAAAATCAAAGAGGCCAAAATGGTCTTGGTTCCCAAAACTCTAGAAACAATCTCCAAATTTCATGTTTCTATGGATGACAGCCCTCTTCAGTGGTAATCTAAGACCCATAGGCAGTTACGAGAGACAATTCTGTACCTAATGAAACGGGGAAGGATGGAAAGCAGCTCCTCTTTTAAGAGCCACTGGGTATGAGAATCACTTCCCATTATCTTTTGCAATCTGACCTACCTGCTTGAGACGGGAACCAACCAACTGGAGTCAAAGCCACAAAGGAGATCAAGAGCCCAGTCCATCTTAATGCCCCACATCATAATCTAACCTGTTTTGACATAACCTAATTTTACACTATTTTGCACCTGATATTGGCCAGAAAGACTTTTCTCTGCATGACAGAATAAGCTAACATTTAACTTGTGTGTGCAATATGGCCAACATCAAATGCAAAACAGTGTAAAATTTCTTTCTTTCATTTTGTTTTAGGGTCACACCCGGCAGTACTTGGGGGTTACTCCTGACTCTGCACTCAGGAATTACTCCTAGCAGGCTTGAGGTACCATATAGAGTGCAGGGGATCAAACCCTGGTTGGTTGCATGCAAAGCAAACTATTACTCTGTACTATTACTCTGGCCCCACTGTAAAATTTCTTTACTGGTTAGAAAATAGTTGCTGGGCCCCCGCATGTGAAACTCCCTGTGCCTGCCAATAGTTCAACAATTAATTAGCCATAAATGTGGTCCCTGGGAGCTCATTCAAATACAACAGCCAATGCCTCCCTGGTAACTTCTGGTCTCTACTGACAGTTAAAATATTTTGTATTATCCTCATTAGGTATACATGGAGACATGAGCATACAAGGGCTTCAAACCTAAACACAGTAGGATGTTCCCACTGTGGGATTACAGTTTAATTTACCCTCTTAATGCTTACCCTGCCCCAGAACTCTGCCTGCCTCTGACTGGCTCTCACCTCTGTCCCCATCATCTTCTGGCTCCTCCTGTGGGGCCTGCTCCAGCACAGATGCATCCTCCTGGGGCCCTTCTGGCAGCTCCCCATTGGACACAGTCTTGTTTAGTGATGATGGCTGGGATGATGGAGGCTGTGCCAGCTTCTGCCGAAGAGCATTGATCTCCCGGCGCAGCAAGCGGACACGTCGGGTCCGGGCCCCACTGGACCGCATGGCACTTACCAGGTCCAGTTTCTCCAGCAGCTCCTTCAGCTGCACTTCTGGGGACAAATGGGCCCGGTTCTCTGGGATGAGGATGTTGTCCACTGCCAGGGAGAAGGGAGGACAGAAGGGGCTGAAGGAATTGCCCAGCCCAGGGCAAGAGGTAGGGGCCAAATCCTGGGCAAATCCTTCGAATGCAAAAAATATGCTCTCAGAATGCCTGGATCATTGGCTTCCAGCAGCATCAGCGGAGCCTTAACCCTGGTCACACCACTGCCTGGAGGGCAGCCGCAGGGACCAGGCCAGAACCTGGTAAACAGCTGAAGGAAGCAGTTCACAGTCACAATTACAGGCTCCGCAGAGCAGGCACAAGGCAGCTGGCAATCCACCAGCCTAAGTGACTGCTGCCATTGAGAAGCAGGGGTAGGCAGAGCAAAGGGTTCGGAGAGACTCTGTTTATTGTTTATCTGGTCCTCTATCTGCACTCTTCTGTGAGCCAGACTATACCAGCATGATACCAACCCCCCCACCCCCACCCTCCACTACCCTACCCCACATAACACCCATTCTTCCTGTGCCACAAAAAGGAGGTGCAGAAGACACCAGTGGGGCTTTGGCTTTTCAAATAGAGAGCAAAGCTAGTACTTTATTTCCCATTCCTACTACCCAAGGATTACTAAGTGAATTAAACTTCAACCCTTCGAACTACTCTAGCCATCAGCAGACAGATACCAGCCTGTGTTTACCCCCAGCCTTACTCCAGAAATCTATTCTGTCGTCCCAACACCCATTCTGATCCCTGGCTCTCAGGGCTCGGTCCCTGTGTGTCCTCCTGGCTCCTCTCCTCCCCTCCCATCCAGGCATCTCACCATCTTCCCAGGAGAAGCGATAAAAGTCCTCCGATTTGGGTGACTCAGGTAAGTGGGTGCCCCTCTCGGGATCATAGCCAATGTTTTCTGCCTGCCGCCGGGCGTGCCGCAGGATGGCCCCTCCCAGGTCCCGCAGGCGGACAGCTGCTCGGTGGAAAATTGTGTCTTTAGCATTATACTTCATGCAGTTGGTAACTATAAGGTTAAAGTCCTCCTCAAACTCCTCCAAGGTGCGATACAGGTGGGACTCCAGCTTCCGCCTCATAGTAGAAAAATCCATTGGCTTGGATATGAATTCCAGGTAATCTGGAACCTAAACATATAAAACCTGTACAATTACAACAACCATTTACTAGACAAACAGGCACACCCTGCACCAGTACTCTTGCCTCCCTATGTTCTGGTTCGGCTTGACAGGCTAACTCAGAGCCACTGGGCCCTGGCCCATCCTGGCATCTCTTGTCAAACTCCCCCAGGTTTTATATATCCTATGACAAAAGCCTCTGCTGGTTGGCTCAGACCCTATTTCTGTCCAAAAGGGGCTCATGACTCAAGTAGTGAGGGGAAGAAGGGACTTACCTCACTCAGGTTGACAGGCTCAGCAAAGATGTGTGCAGGATCCTTCTCCTGCAGCAAGTCTAGTGTTGTTCTCAGCAAAACATTGAAAGGCATCAATTCCAATTCCATAGCAGCTTGCTGGACCTTAACCTATGTGGAATGTAATAGACTTCAGGATAGCCCTCACCCCCAAACACATTCTTTCCTCTCTCTCTCTCTCTCTCTCTCTCTCTCTATATATATATATATATATATATATACACACACATATATACACACACATATATATTCTCCCATATATATAATATACACACACACACACACACACACACACACACACACGCTGGGGATCAAGCCCAGGTTGGCCGTATGCAAGGCAAGTGTCCAACCTTCTGTACTATCTCTCTAGCCTCTACCTTCATTTTTCAGTTGAGCAACTGAGGTAAAAGAAAGATCAAGCAATTTATTACAGTAAGCAGCAGAGCAAGAATTTCAACCCAGGTAGTCCAAGATGCAGCTCATATTCCTAACTCCTATGCAGTGCTACCTCTATTACTCATGTTCAGAGCCTTATAATCTTCATATACAGAGCTAAGAAAATTTAAATGATTCAAGACTCTAAGTGTTTAAGGACCACGTGAAATTCCTGAGGAGCTTCCAGGCCAGCTTTGCAGAATGGACCGAACTTTTCAAAATACTCAAGGCCAGCATTCCCTGAGATTTCTTTAATGAGAGATTCCAGAGACTGGCCCAGGCATAGAATATTGAGCTTGTGCTTAAGGCAACCAGAAGCTGAACCCCAAAAGGTGACAGCAGCACTATAACCAATGCAACTCTGGAGCCCACTGTATGGAGCAGGAAGGGAAGAAAGTTATGCCCCGGCAAGGACTCTCAAGTCACTGCACTGACTTGAGAGTGCTACACTGACATTTCAAGAAGATCCTGAACAAGAGACTGTGCTGGCTAAGACACCTCCTTACCTGTTCCCGCTTGAGTTTCTCTCTCTTCCGAATCAGTTCGATCAGCAGCCTTGCCCGTTCCAAGTCATGCCGCAGCTTCTGCCAGTATTTTAGCTCTTCCTTCACTGCACTTGTCTTCTCATCCTGCTCTCGCTGCAGGAGAAAATGAAAAGAAGGAACGGAGTGAGAGCCTCCTTCCAGCCTAAAGTCCTCTCCCTACTCAAGCTTCACAGTTGGTAAGGGGCCCAGGCCCCTTCCTTGAGTCACATCCCCAAGAGCCTGCAGTCGCCGCCATCCACCACCCCATGCATTCCTCCTCCAGTGCTTCCAGCCTTTATAACCACTGCTAGAGTGAGAATTTGGATTGCTTCCCCTGCCCCAAGGGACACAAGAAAGCAGCTGTGCACCTCAAGGCTGAAAAGAATATATACTTCAGGGGTAGAAAGAATTTCACCCTAGGCTTCAATTTGGCTAGAAAACAAAGTGAAGTTCTTACAATAATCCTGTACTAACTTCCACAGAAATAGTTTGAAACAACACCACCACCACCACCATGATACCCGCCCATGAAAATGTTACAGCCTAGCTGGGGGAAGAAAAGACCAAGCGTGGAGCTGGAGAGATATTACAGGAGGTAAGGGACATCACCAACCCTGGTTTGACTCCTGGCACCACAAATGGTCCCAAAGCACTGCCCCCTTAGCATAGCTGGGTAAAAATCAGGAGTAAGCCCTGAGCAGGTGTGTGTAATCTTTTTTTAAAAAAGCCAAGGAGTTAATAAATAAGACACAGTGCAGCGAAAGGACAACAAACACAGATCATATAAGATGTTGAAAAGATAAAAATTACAGAGGATATGAGTGGGTTACTGTTAGGTCAAGGAAGTTTTCCTAGGGAAAGTAATCTTATTGGAGTTTCATATGAAGTGATGAACATGAAAAATACAGGAAGGAAGGTGGTCTTTGAAACCAAAGGGACTAGAGGGCAAAAGAACATAGGCAGAATCAGTGACTCTTTGCTCTGTAAAAAATACGGGCTGGCCAGAGCAGAGAAGCTGGAGAAGCATAGTCAAGGAATACTCAGGGATTAGTTAGCAAGATGTCTCAAATGCCAAGCAAAAGAACTTGGACACTGCTTGGAAATGGGGAATATACTCTGAAAAAGTCACAGGATGGAAAACTGCATGTGAGTAAGACAAAGCCAGTAACAGAGAAAAGAGAGAATTAGAGGTTGGAGACTACTTAGAAAGCTATTGCTGAAATTAATGAGGCATGGATGGGTGAGCAAGATAGCTGTAGAATGGAGACAAAGGGCCATACACTGATAAATCCCCCAAATAGCTTAGCAGCCGATTAACTGCGGCTCATTATGGAGGGAAGAGTCAAAAACAACTCCAAGGGCTGTGGATATGGCTCAACAGTAGAGTGCCTGTTTTGCATGCGTGAGTGCCTGGACTCAGTGCCTGGCACAAATAAAAATAAAAAAGAAGTAATTCCAAGGTGAGCTATATTTAATTCACACAGGAAGATCACCAATTTATTTTACAATAAACTGAAATAAATAAACCTGCAATATTAAAAATAATTTTAATTATCATGGACACCCACAGTTCCTCTGCCCAAAAGCAAAGGGATGAGTAAGACGAGAAACCTGGAGTTTCTGCTACACCATTCTTTAAAGCTACAAGAGGGAACAGCACTCCAGCAATGGGCACTCTGCCCTGCAAATGTTCCCACTAAGGAGTCAAAGAGGTAGGATCAGCATAGGTTACAGTCAGCAGAGTGGAGAAAGGAGGAAGTGGTGTCACTTAGAGGCTCTCAGAAAAGGTTATTTGTAGTGTCAAATACAGCCCCAAAAGTAACAAATGTGAGGCTCTGAAGACCTGCAGGACAGGGATGAGGTGACTGATGTTCTGAGGGACATGTCAGGGAAGTGGATGAACCATTTCAAGGCGGACTCAAGTTACAAACGCCAAAGTGAAAGCAGACAAAATGCAGACAGAGGGCACCATGGTGACATAAAGGTTTGCCTCATCTCTAGAGCAGCAGCATGGGAATGTTTAAAGGTAGAACAAATGGAGCAAGTGAAGAGGCAGAAAGAACTCAAGTTTTTTTAAAGACTCTTAGGAGGCTTCCACTATCTCAAAATGGCATGCGGCAACTCCAGCTGCTAATGGCTGAAGGCCACCACAATTGGGCAGACTACGGTCACGGTCCTCCCGCTGTTCATCGATTTGCTCGAGTGGGCCCAGTAACGTCTCCATTGTGACAACTGTTACTGTGTTTGGCATATTGGGCAGACTATGCATTCCAAGTTATAGAGTAAATATGTGTATTTACTATGAAATACATTTTGGTAGATGTCAAAGTAGTGAGTGAAGTGCATTTTTTCCCTAAGTCATACAACATGGCTACCCTGACTTACTCGGGAACACAGCTAGAGGGCTTTTCCTTATAAATAGAAAATTGGACTTGTTCTCCATTCTCCCTTCAAACTTGCTCCAAAGTTTTGCCTCTCCCACCCCAATAGGGCTACCAGCTGATCTGAGGACCATTACAGGGTGAACTGTTTCCTAGGACAGGCCACCTAGAGTGAGCTCTATTTGATATCAACAGCTTATACACAAAGGCTCCCAGGAGGGCCCTAGCACCACTCTGCACCCCTCTCCACTGGTCTGGTCTGTCTGGTTCTTAGCCAGCAGCCTTCACTTACCTGCTCCGCGTTTCTTTGGGACTGAAGGTGAGAATGTAGGCGCCGGATGAGGGGAACACCATTCCGGGCCTGACGCTTTAACAGCCAATAGTTGTGAAGCCGCTGCATGAACTGGTTTTTCCTCTGAAAGGAGAGACCACTACAGATCTTGTTCAACCTTGAGTGGAGGCACAGGGAAGTGGAAAAAGGGTCAGTGGGCAGCCCAGATAGCCCATGCAGCCTATCCAGACCCTGGTTCATTTCTGAACCTTCCTCCAGAGAAAGACAGAATAAAGTGGCCAAATGCCTCACCTCAGAGAAAGACTGGAAGAGGCCAGCAAAGTTAAGCCGCTCAGATTCAGCATGAGATATTTCTTTTCACTTGACTTTCCACCCTGTGTGGCAGTCCTGATCCTCCAAAAGAACCCTCTCCCAGGAACCCCGTTTCCTGTGATAATGGAATCCTGTGAAACAGACCTTTTATCCCAACAAAACCCACGGTTCTCTTGATAAAAGCAGCAAAAGGGAGCAGGAACTCAAGTTAAGCTCTGGGCAATGTAATCACTATTTCCTGACCCCACAGAAACTGAGGGTTCCACCAGACCAAGGCAGAGGCCACAGCCAAGACTGAAGGCAAACAGTAGGAATGTAGGAGGCTACTGCTTCTAAGGCCCAAAAATAACCCCCGAGGTCATCTGACTTCTGATATTTCATTTAAAATCATTCTACCATAAACACGTCTAATTTTGAACCAAATTGGGAAAAAAAAAATCTAACAGCAAAAGAAGATGGAGAATCTAAAAACTCAGCTGGTTAAACTACCCCAAAAAAGAAATCTTAAGGTTAGGACATAAGCCAGTAACATGCTGGGATAAAGAAAAAGAGGGATAAAGAAAAGAATTAATGAGCATACAAATCTCTACTTAATGCCCATACTGCAGAGTGGGTAGCGTTCCCAAGTTACAAAAGAAGGAAAGGTAGTTTAGGAATGGAAGCTGTATAAACTGTCAGTATCCCTAACATGGTAAGTTGCTGGAGCTGTGTGGGATCTCAATCTACCATATCTCTACTAGACCATGATGTATTCCCAGGTAAGTTATCCACAGGCTAATAAACAAGACTTTGGGGCTTCTGTAGGGTTTCCTTTACGTTTTCTCTTCATTCCACTCCACTGAAAGGAAGATAAGCACGACTGAATAAGAAGGTCTAGACTATAAGAGTGGGTATTTTGAGCTTAACATTGGTCACCTAAGCTTGCTCCTTCCCATAGTCAGACATTCCTCCCCCAAAGCCAAGCTTACAAAATCAAGGCCTAGGCCTTGCCCACAAAGGACAGTTCCCCCCACCAATATCCATGCCAAGCACACCTGCCCAGATGCAGGCAGCCCCCACCCTCTACCTCTTAACCATGAAGGGTCCCAATAGCATTTATGCAAGTAGGGAAAAGAATAATAAGAGTAATAATAATAAAATAGCAGAGCAGCAGTAGCTACCATTTATTGAGCACTTACTACTTACCAGGCACTGTGCTAAGTGCTTTACTGATTTCTCACAAAACCCTACTGTTCAGATGGAGAGGTTCACTTACAAATAATAAAACTTAAAGAAATTCAATGACTAATTTATATTTATTGATACAAATAAGACAAAGAAATTAAGTCAAAATATTAGTAGTATTGACTACTAATAAAAGTGGGGGACTGTTTGGGTTTCAGTCAGCGTGCTTTGTTGGTCCCTACAAGGGACATCTAAGAGGAGACAAAACAACCAGGAAATCAACTTCCAGGCATGAGCACCTTAAAGATGAGAATTGAGTATGGACCACTCATGTAAGGTAAATGGATAGCCTAGAATATCTGTGCCTAGAAGACACATTTCCAGGTGACTGGATTCTAACGTGCATTACGGTTTGCACTGAATCCCTCCCTCATGAGCTTGTCTGCTTTTCTTTCCACTCTTGACAGTCTGGCTGCCCACTGCCCTCACAAAAGTTACTCCCATACTACTCTCCAGTTCTCCTCATCAAGAGTGACACATAGCAGGAAGAGCATCATGAGTTCCAGCAGTGGTCCAGGGTCAATAGCTCTACACCCAGTTCCAGCCCTTAGAAAAGGACCTAGCATATAGTAAAGTGCTCAATAAACATCTTGCTGAATGAATAAAGGAGTGAAAAACTTTACCTCCCGTGGCGGCGGTTTCTTCATCTGGGGGTGTGGGAGAAGGTGCAAGGACTACATTAGATGAAGAATCTCCAAGATTTAATCCTATTCTAATGAATTTTTTTTAATGAACACCACCCTTGAGGTGAACCTCTGATGGGAAATCTTCCCTGTCTCCTTTTCTGCCAAGCTCATTCCTTTGGCACCTCCAGCCAGCTCACTGATGGTTTAAAATGGTACAATAATTTCTCTATACACTCAGTGAGGGTCAAGATGGCTGAAAAGCTAAACTGAGTGAGCCTTTATTCCCTAAATACAAGTTTGTTAAAAGAAAGAACAGCACGTACTCCACCAACCACCAGCCCCTCAAGTCCCCCTCATTCCCAGGACAGAGCTTTCTAGACAGCAGCTGCCTATAATGACTTCTTGAAACCAGTACTCAATTGAAAGAACCATCTCCTTAGGGGTTTTTGGAAATGAATGGGGAGCACTTCATGCTGTCACAAAGACCACGAAGGTTAAAAATTGAGAAACACGGGACAGAACAGCAAAGAATTATCCTATCCTGTGACCTTGTTTTATTTTAATTATTTGTTTGCTTGCTTGGGGGGCCACACCCAGTGATGCTCAGAGGTTATTCCTGGCTTTGCACTCAGAAATTACTCCTGGCAATGCTCAAGAGATCTTATGGGATTGAACCCTGGGCCTGCCGCTTGCTAAGCCTTACCCCTGTACTATCACTCTGGCCCACCTGTGACCTTGTTTACAAAAAAAAAAAAAAACCTGCCCTAGACATCCTGTTAACCTGAGTTTCTGAGAAATTTAACTGTTTATCTCACTTTGAACAAAGGAAATACATTGCTCTGAGGGCACAATCAAAACCACAAATTGCACTAGGTAAGCCCAGAGTCAAGTCCAAAATAAGTCTACACTGGAGGGCACAAAAGAGCAGATGTTTACCAACCATGCCTAGGAAAGGAGACCAGCCCAGGAAACTACACAAACTATGAGGTATCTTCCTGGTCAGGCTCACCTGTAAGAGGGTATCTGTGGGATAGTGACCATGGGGACAGTGGAAGACATATCTCGGTTCACTTCCTCTGGTTCCTTCTTGATCTTTTGCTTCAAAGTCACCTTGTTCTTCTTGGGCATCCCCTTGGGGGGTCCACCTGCCCCACCATGGTTTTCATCTTCCTCTTCCACATCTTCCTTCTCTTCTTCTTTCCCACAGCCTTCCTTCAGCCCTTCCTCTTCTCCAGTCTCACTCAAGCTTCCAGGGAATTTGTTCTTTCTCCTAGCAACGGTAGTACCTGGAGGTGAATGTGCCTCACAGTACGCAGTCTTGCGCACTGTGAAGATGGTGCCATTGAGGCTGGTCTCCCGCATGGGCTCAATCTTCATGAAGAGGCCAGCCCGTTGTGCACACGTCACATGGAAGGCTGTATAGCAGTTTACCTTATGGCACTGGATAGCTGCACCCAGCCCCTTCTGCTTGCAGATATAGCAGGTTAGTTTCCAGCGAGCAGGCGGGATGTTATCAATACCTTCAATGGGCTCCAGAAAGACAGTGTTGGCGAAGCAAACTTCAGGAATCCAGATGGCACACACTACATGGGCCCAGTGCCCATCACTGGTCTGCTTGAAAGCACCACCCTTATTGGGGCAGAGGACACAATCCACGGGCCGGGAGGGGCTCTGTAGGCAGCATCGACAGAGCCACTGGCCCTCAGGGATGTAGGGGACACCATAGCACTCCTGGTGCACGGCCAGATTGCAGATATCACAGAAGAGAATGACGTTGCTGTTGTGGCACTCGTCATCAAGACACACGCAACAGAAAGCATCTTCATCAATGAGTGACTGCTGGGCCCCACTGCTACGACTTTCCAAGTAGGACTCCTTCTCAAGCCGATCCACTAGCAGCTCAAAGGCATCTGCCGACACTACACTGTGCCCATCTAGTCGCCGCTTCTCATTCACCATGTCCAGCCAGGCAATGTCCTCCTCGTCCATGTCATATTCTACCTCTGCATCTAGGTCTTCAGGAGGCTTCTCGATGTAGCGGTAGTAGGCCGCAGGTAGAGGCGGTGCTTCTGGCTGGCTGCCTGAGTCCACCAGGCGGAAGCTGGGCTGCGGGAGGTGGAAAGAAGGACCTGATGCATGTTTGGAGCAAGACTCCTTCTTCTTGCCCTTGGAGGAGGTTTTTTTGGACTTGCCAGGGAACTGAGGCTGCTCACTGTTTTCTTTGTTACTATTGCATTCGGTGATATCCTGTGCAGTCAGCTCATCCTCTGTGATGATTTTGAGTGGGTCATAGATGCTGATGCGATGCAGACGACCATCAATGTCCACCTCAACAATCCGCTGGGCCTGGGCGTATGTCAGGGTTTCCCGGGTGGGTGAGCACTTCAGACTATAGGGGGATGGGGATCGCCGGCCCTCGGCATTTTGCCGTGACTTCTGACGTGGCTTCCTCATGGCACCTAGGAATCAAGGAAATTGACCTAGGGAGAAAAGACCAGAAGGCCAATAAGCTAGATGTTCAAGTATTCTTGCATCACTCATTTAGCCATCCATCTCATCAAGAGGACTGACTTCTCTCTGAAAATCTTTCTTTTTCCATTTTTCTCTTTTCTCTGAAAATCTTGAACTTCAGCTACACGTGATTGCTCCTTCATCTCCTTTAAGTCTTTCTACAAACACTGCATGTCAGTGAGCCTTTCCAACCATTCTAAAATTGCAAATCCTTTTTCCCCAACAGCAGTGTTTCTATCCTACTCCCTTTTAAAAAAAAAAAAATCCAAATTAAGAGTCACTCCCAGCAAAGCACAGCCTGATGATGCAGGTTTGATGGCCTGGTGCTTGGGCCCAGAGGCTCATAAGAGCCTCAGTTGGTAGTGTGTGGGAACATGTTTTACCTGGATGGAGCACAGGGGCCTGTGCATGCCACACATGGTTCTAGCACATCTCCCTGGCATCTTGCTTCATTTTTCACTATTGTATTCACCATCTTTTTTGTCATTATCACTGTCCTTCCGTTGTTCATCAATTTGCTCGAGCGGGCCCAGGAATGTCTCCATTGTGACAATTGTTACTGTGTTTTGGCATATCGAATACGCCACGGGGAGCTTGCCAGGCTTTGCCGAGCAGGCGAGATACTCTTGGTAGCTTGCCGGGCTCTCCAAGAGGGGGAGGAATCAAACTCAGGTGGCCATGTTGGCCGCTTGCAAGGCAAAAGCCCTACCGCTGTGCTATCGCTCCAGCCCATCTTTTTTGTATATATGCAATATGCCTAGTTTATCAAATACAGTCATAAGTAACTTAATGAAGGGGATATGTCTTGTTAGGTGATTTTGGGCAAACTTAACTGTAAAGAACTTTGTAAGCTTACAAGTCATGACAAATTAAACATATAGTTAAATCAAGCTTAAGAAAAAAAAAAATAGAGGGGCCGGAGATAGAAAAGCAGGCAGGAAAAAAAAAAGGCAGGCAGGGTGTTTGCCTTGCACATGTCGACCCAGGTTTATTCCCAGGCATCCCATATGGTCCCCCAATCCCAACCAGGAGTGATCTCTAACTGTGAGCCAGGCATAAGCCATGAACACAGCTCGGTGTGGTCCAAAAACCAAAAACAAAACAAAAAGAAGAAAATAGAAAACACACAGCAAATATGATATGAAGCTTCAGATGTCATAAAACACTATGTGAAGAATTTGCAACAGTCAGGACATCTCTAGGCAATAGAGATTTGGGGAACACCATGGTATATGCAGTCTGTCACTTATCAGAACATCATTATGCCGTACATGAGGTGTACCGTTTCCTCCCACTGGAATGTAAGCTCTATGAAGGGAAGAAATTTTTCCTGTCTTGCTTCCCTGCTAAAACATGGAATGGAGTCTGACTTCAAAGGGCCCAAGGAGTATTAGTAGAATAAAAGAACTCAAACTAGAGCACTGCCAAGGTGCTCTGTTTAATTGAAGTAGCAAATATATGAACAAATCATTATAATGCAACATGGGGGAGAGATCTAATGTTCTCATGATTCAGAGAAAGAGATATTTAACTGGAAAAGGAAGGGTGGTAACAGCTTCCTTCAGAAAAGAGCAGCCATTTACTTTCATGTTCTGTTCATGTAGCTCAATGGCAAGAGTGCCTGCCTTACACATGTTTAAGTCCTAGGTTTAATTCCCACAACACCAAAAAAAAAAAAAAATCAAGTTCTGTTCATTAGCAGTAGCTCCCATCAGAGACTTAAAAAAAATATATATATATATATACATATATATATAATTACAAAAAAAAACCCAGAAAGCCAAACCAGAAGCCCTAGCCCCTAACCATGGCCAATAATGAAACATTTATCACATGACAAAGCACAGCATGCGGAGTACACTGGCTCACACTTTCTAAGTAGAAAACCTGGAAGATCTGGAAGAGGCCCAAGTGGCACTGAAGTGGACTATCTAGAACACTCATGGGCAAAAGGCCAAGGTGACTTGTGGCATTATTCTAGGAAAACTCATTTGGGGAATTGGGGACACACCTGACAGTATACAAGGCTTACTCCTGGCTCTGCACTCAGGAATATGTTTGGGAGACCATATAGGGTGTTGGGAAATCAAATGTGGGTTGGTAGCAAGCAAGGCATGGCCCTACCCACTATTGCTCAGGCCCTGTATGAACTCTTAACATATTATTCTATTACCTCAAAAGTGTCTCCCCAAATACATCCAGACCAGAGGCCCCCCCAAGCTTTTTTATTTGGTCTATTGCTCCCTTTAAAAAAAAGAAAGAAAGAAAGAAAAATCACTCAGCGCTCCCCTGGAAATCTACCTTCTGTAAGTGAGCAGAGGCACTCTCCTAATCACACCCAAAGAACATTCCAGAGTCTCCCTCCTACCACCATGGATGGAATCACCCATTTGAAGGAAACGCTACTCTAATATGTATATATATAAGAACTACATATATATAATATTTATTGTTAATTTGGGACTCCACACCAGGTTGTTTTCACTTGGCGCAGCCCAGAGGGGGGCGGGTGAGAGCCCTCCCTGCCCCAAGGGACCCAGCCCAGCAGCCGACCTCCAAACCACCGCCATGCTGATAAGATACTTCTTACCCATTTTCCATAATTACCACACCATGTTTGATCGAGTTCAGACAGTAGGCAACAAAATATAGGCCTCTCGAAGAGCCCGGCAACCTACAGAGAGTATCCCACCCACACGGCAGAGACTGACAAGCTCCCCATGGCATATTTGATATGCCAAAACCAGTAACTATAAGAGGTGTCATTCCCCTGACCCTGAAAGAGCCTCCAATTGTTGGGGAAGACGAGTAAGGAGAGGCTACTAAAATCTTAGGCTGGGACAAATAGAGACAGTACTGGAGCCCACTCAAGTAATTCAATGAACAACGGAATGACAGTGATACAATGAATTTTTAATTTATTTTTTAATTGAACCTCAGTGAGATACACAGTAGCAAAGTTGTTTGCAATTGGATTTTAGTCATAAAATGTTCCAACACCTGTCCCTTCACCAGTACCCCCCACCAGTACATTTCCCACCACCAATGTCTGCAGTTTCTCTCCCCCCACCCCCATTCCCACCTGCCTCTATAGCAGGCACTTTTCTTCTCTTTCCCCCTCTCTCTCTCCTTCTCTCCCGCCCTCCCTCTCCCTCTCTTTGCTTTTGGGCCTTATGGTTTGCAAAACAGACACTTTTTAAAGGTTATCAGGTATATCCCTTTACCTACTTTCAACACTTAGTTTCTGTCCAAAATGATCATTTCCATGCATTGTCATATTAGCTACCCGTGACGTATTAGCTACCCATGACTACTGCTATGCCAAACACAGTAACAAATGTCACAATGGAGACGTTACAGGGCCCGTTGGAGCAAAATGATGAACAACAGGAGGACAGTGACAGTGACAGATTGTCATACTGTTTCCTTCTTTATCCTAAATGCCCTTCACCTCCCCACCACCAGTCCCCAAGCTCTAGATATTCTTTTTTTTTTTTTAATTTTTATTAGTTAAACACCATGAGGTAGAGTTGTAGATTTACAAACTTTTGTGCCTGGGTTTCGATTATACAATGATCAAGTACCCATCCCTCCACCAGTGCCCATTTTCCACCACCATGGATCCCAGTATCCCTCCCACACCCATTCCCCCCCATCCCACCCTGCTAGATATTCTTACAAAGAGAAAAGCCCCTGAAGTTTTCTACCTCATTCTCTTGGCGGAGGCAATTGTGACAAGTGCTTCAGGAGTCAGGGTAGGCAGTTACTGAGGCATCACAACACCCAGGACAGATCTCTGGGTGTATATCCTGAGGTGTGGGCAGGCTTTCCACAGTATAAACAGGGAAAAGGTTCAAAGAGAAAACTTGCATTTGTCCCTGTAGGTTCTACCATTGTCCTCTTTATATAAAGGGGAAATGGTGACAACCTGGTATACCTTCCCAATGGTCTAAACCCTTTCACTTTTTACATTCCTCAGAATTTCCAGATTAAAAAAACCAGAAGCTTAGAAAGAACTCAAAGTTGGGCTGGAGAGATAGCACGCAGCCGACCGGGGTTAGATTCCCAGCATCCCATATGGCCCCTGAGCACCGCCAGGAATAACTCTTGAGTGCAGAGCCAGGAGGAACCCCTGTGCATCGCCAGGTGTGACCAAAAAAGAAAAAAAAAAAAACACTCAAAACTAGAAAGCAGTTAAGACTACAGTTCCAACAGCTCTGTTGTGCTGGGCTCCTCTGGCTGGAAGATAAGAAGAGCACAGACACACCCTGGTCTGGTTTGAAGAGGTTGGGACGCAAACGGATTCCAGGGAGTCTTCGCCCTGTGGAGACCCTGAAAAGTTGCTTCAGCACTGAATAGCTCCATATTTCAGTGAAAAGGCCTACCTCTGGGGCCTTGCTATTGTCTTTTTGGTTTCTTTACTGAGGGGGGTGGGGGCGCGAACCAAGTGGTGCTTGGACCTTAATTCTGACTCTGCAGTGAGGGATCACTCACGGCAATGCTGAGAGGAACACAGGCAAGGAAGGGATCAAACGTATGCTCAAGGCAACGTCCAGATTAAAAACAACTTCCAAGCCAATGTGTGTGACTGAACCCAACACAGAGCCAGGCACTTGCACGCCCTCATTCGGAACTAAAGAGCCTTTCTGTCCAGGTTCCAGATCGGGTTCTAGGTCAACCAGGCAGAGAGTGGCGGGAGCCCCCATCCCCCACCCCCCCCCCCCCGGGTACCCCATTTTCTCAAGAGCCCAAAGACCCTCGGAACGGGCAAAATTCTACCTAGTGACTGACCTCTAGTGGAACTGGCAGTGTGTGCGCCTCCTTTCTTCAGGACGCCCCCCCCCCCCCCCCCGAGTTCTGCCCCTCCTCAATCTCCTCAGTTTGCTCTCTCAAGCCGGTGCCTGTGGAAATTTCTGCGCCCCCGCCCCCACCCCCACCTCAGGCCCACAGCGCTCCGACGCTGCGGGGCGCCGCTGACTCGGCAGTGCGGCGGCTGAGGAAAAAGAAACCAGTTTCGCCCACAAGGAGCTTCCACTCTGAAGATTTTGGCGGGAGATCGCCACCCCCCACAAGTCTTGCCCACACTCGCCCCTCCGAACGTCCCCGACACTCCCTCCCCGCAGAGCTCCTCCGCACCCTCGAACCCCTCCCCGCTCGCCCACCCGATTCGGGGTCTCCCGAAGAACGAGCGAGATTCTGCGATTTATAGACTGTTTCCGCCCTGCACCTCGCGCCAGAGACTCAAGGCGGCGGGGTCGGGTGCAACCAGGGCGCCGGCCCCTTTAAAGGGGCACCGCTTCCAGAAGCCGCTTGACCCCCGGGAGGAGAAAGGAGGGAAACAGCATCTTCTTCCCAGAGGGGAGGAGACGAGCGCCACGGAGACGGACAGACGCGGAGTCCGACCCTCAGACAGAGAAAGCGAGCGCCAGCGAACGAGCGGGGAAGAGAGCCGAGCTCCCATTGGCGGGCCCTCCTGCCCGTCAGGAGGACAGGGCAGCCATAGGGCGCCCGGGGGGCGGCGCTCCGCACGGGCCCGACCAATAGGAGGGCGAGGAGGGGGCGGGGCTCAGCGGCTCAGCTTCCAGGACTGGGAGGGGGGAGACAAGATGGCGGCTGCGGGAGGGGGTCCTCGCTTTGCAGCTCCCCCCTCATCCACCTTCTCCTTCCCGCCGCCGCCGCCGCCCTCGCTCCGGGAGGGAGCTTTCGCGCCGCCCCCGCCCCGCTCGGGGAGCCCCTTCCCTTCCATCCCCACCCTGCCCCCGCGCAGCCCCCGGCCCCCCGTAGGCCCCGCTGCCCCCGCCCCCGACCGGCCCGGCCCCGCTGCCACCCCCCCACCCACCCCCCATTACCTCAGCCGCCGGCCCGGCCCCACGGTTCGGGGCCCCTGGGCGCGGGCCGGCCGTCGAGCAGGTCGCTGCGGCCCGGGGGACAGATCGCGGCCACCGCTGCAACCCCGTCCCGGCCCGCGCTGGGGCCCCAGCCCGGGCACCGCCGCCGCCGCCGCTCCCGGGGGAGGAGGGGGAATGGAGCCGCCGCCGCCGCCGCCGCTGCTGCCGCCACGGAGCCCGGCCGAGGGGAGGGAGGGATCAGCCCCCAGGCAGGATCCGCCCCTCCGGCCTCCCCCCCGCCACCTCCACCCCTTCCCTCGCTCCCTCCCCGGCTCCGCGGGCTCTCCCGCGGAACGGGAGCGAGAGCGCGAAAGAGGGGGGGACGCGGGGAAAAAGAAAAAAAAATCCCCCGTGCCCGGCGCGGTGGCGGTGGTGGCGGTGGCGGTGGCGGTGGCGGCGGCCGGGGCGGCGCGGAGCCGAGCGCGGAGCAGCCGCCGCCGCCGCCGCCGCCGCCGCCGCCACGGGGCACCGTCCCCGGCTCGGCCTCACGGTGGCGGTGCGGACGCGGCAGGGGCGCCCGCCGAGCGGGGACGGGGCTGCGCCCGGCGCGGCCCCGGCTCTCCCCGCTGCAGCCCGCCGCGGCCGGGCCGAGCCGAGCCGAGCGAGCCGAGCCGAGCGCCGGGGATGCTCTGCTTGCTCTAGTTTGGCAGAGATCGCGGGGGTCCCCGATGCCAGAGCGCTCCCTTCGTCCCCTTCTCCCCGCCTTTTTTTTTTTGCACCTCTCGAGGAGATGCGTGAGGTTGGGGCGGGGGGCACCACCCCGCTGCCCACCCCACGAGCTGGAGAGCCCGCTCCAAAAGATGAAGCTGGGGCATGATCATGGAAGCCAGTTCCTCCTAGCTGTAGTTGCTTGGAGTAGTGCAGGTGCTTGCAAACGGGGGGAGGGGGCTCCCCCCCTCCCCAGAAGCCGCACCACCCCCCAACCCCCATCCATGCCCAGGTCCGGAGGACAAAGGTCTAGGGATGTCCATCCCCTTCCCACCACGAGGACCAGTCGCGGTGGAGGAGCGCAGGTGAGCGCCGGCTTCCCCCACAGCCAGCCTCGCTCAGACACACAGATCCGACTTTTTTCGACTTTTTTTCTTCGCCGTGTGGCCATCCTTTCCCGTCAGTAAAAGAGTGAACATAAAAGTTTGACAGTCTACGACTTAAGGACGTCTGAGAGCTCATTTGCAACCACCCGTAGACGGGCGCGACTGCTTAAAGCCGGGTTTGGTCAGGAGCCGGTTAATTTCATACAGTAGGCGGCTTTTCTGAAGGAGGCTTGACAAATGGCAACTTCAGATTGTCAGTTGTCATCAAACGGGCTTTTGTTTTTGAAAATTTTAAAAAACGGAACTTCGTTTAAAACACCCATTCCCCCCCCCCCCCCCCCCCCCCCGTGCCTGCAAATCAGAAAGCTTACCTTCTCTGTGGCTGGAAATCTTAGCCACCAGCGTTTAATGATGTCTATAAAGGATGGATGGCTAGGCTACCTTTACATGTGAAGATGAATGACATATTTTGAAAGCGTTTTCCTCTGCCCGCGCGGCTGGTGTAGACTGGCGAGACTTTCACAGTTTCTTGGTTCTAATGATGTAGGACTCGGATTCTATAGAGAATGAATTACCTAGGATCCAAGTCATTTTGAAGCATAGGCGTGCATTATCCCAAGGAATTCTTTAAAATGCTGTTTTGAATTTGTACGTTTGATCAAATAAGGAGTAACAATTTGTAATGATAAAGATATTCTCTGCTCAATAAATGATAGTGTCTTCTGGCTGAGTGATAGCAAAAATATTTCTGTGAATCGCGCTTTTAAGAGAAAAGGGAGTGGCTTGTGGGACTTAGCAAGGGCAGGGCAATGTTTTGAAAGTTATGGAATTGAAGTAGCATGAATTAATGTCACGCTTTCTAAGGCTAGGGGGAATACTCATTTAGAGGAAGGTGTGGTAGAAAAGATGATTAACTGGAGGAAAAAGCCCCAGAGGCAAGAAAATACTGTAATTACTTTTAGTTGAGAAAAAAACAAACTGAAGACGGGTAGCAACAAGAATACTGAATGTGAAAAGAACTTTAAACATATTGCTACTACTTTCTTGATGAATATCCTCAAAGTTTATTTAGCACAATTCCCATGTGTATGGTTAGACAGTATCTTTTCCATTAGACTTAGTGAATAAATGCCTTTAGAAAATATATTGGTTTCCTCCTGTAAAGTATTTAAATGCTGAGGAAAATTGTTTCAGTTAGACATAGGATTTTTCAGGTGTTTTCCTAGTCAACTTTTCATAGCAAGATCTTATTCACTCCACTTTCTTCCATTTAAATTTCCACATTCTGGGTAGTAACATTACAGTTGCCCTCAGATAATGTTACAGATAGTAACATTATAGTTGCCCTCAGTTTCAATTTTTTTATTTATAATTTTTTAAATTATTTTTATAGACTTTTTTTTTAAAGTTTATTTTCCACTTACACCTTATATAAACACTGTGGTTTACAAATTGTTCATGACTTGTTAGAGACATTCAGTGTACCAATATAAATCCTTTCACCATTGCACCTTGCCACCACCATTATCTGCAATTTTTCCAACCACCCCTTAGGCCTACACCTATAGCAGGCCCTCAACAACATTTTTATATTGCTTTTTATAATTTGCTAAAAGCATGATCAAAAAAATGTTTCCTTAGAAGAAAGTGAGGATTATGTCTCTCACCATTAAGCCCTTGCATAAGAGATTATTAAGATGTTGTTACAGGTTAAGCCTTCTGTGTTGATATTTTTTTTTTGTTAGTGAAATACCATGAGGTACATTTATAGACTTAAAAAATTTTTGTGCTTGGGTTTCAGCTATACAATGATCAAGTACCCATCCCTCCACCAGCGCCCATCCTCCACCACCATCGCAGTCCCAGCATCGCTCCCACCCTCCATCCCCCCCATCCCACCCTGCCTCTGTGGCAGGGCATTCCCTTTTGTTCTCTCTCTCTCCTTTTGGGTCCTGTGGTTTGCAAGAGAGGCATTGAGTGGCAGTCATGTTTGGTCTATAGTCTACTTTCAGCATGCTTCTCCTATCCTGGGAGGATCCTCCCAATACCCTTTATTTTGTGCTCCCTTCTCTATCTGAGCTTCCTTTTCCCCTAGCACATGTGGCCAGCCTCCAAGTCATGGAGCAAAATTCCTGGTACTAATCTCGGCCACTCCTGGGTGTTAGTCTCCCATTTTGTTACTTTATGTTCCGCAGATGAATACAATCTTTCAGTGTCTATCCCTTTCTGACTCTTTTCTGACTCTTTTCTTTCTGACTCATTTGCTTAACATGATACTTTCCATGTGGTACCACTTGTATGTAAATTTCATGACTTCATCTTTTCTATGTGTTGGTATTTTTTAATTGAGATGGGATGCTTTCTACATTACATCTCATCCAATCTGGTGTGCTACTCCTCGTTTATCAATGTTGTAGAATTTGAGATGCCCAGGAAGTCTAAAGTTTTTGTTTATTTATTTTTTTATTTTTATTTATTTATTTATTTATTTTGCTTTTTGTGTCACACCTGGCGATGCACAGGGGTTACTCCTGGCTCTGCACTCAGGGGACCATATGGGATGCTGGGAATCGAACCCGGGTTGGCTGCGTGCAAGGCAAACACCCTACCCGCTGTGCTATCTCTCCAGCCCCTAAAGTTTTTAATGAGGTGATAGAATTGAAGTTAAATTTTTAAGTGTGTTGTGTTTGGGGGCGTATGCGTGACTGCCAGGGCTTCCAGAACTACAGGGGGATACAAGGAGTTAGCTCATCCCCAACTCCATGAAAGCCTGGAGATTTCAGTCACAAAACTCGCATACCTGAGTTTTTCAACAGATTAATTCTCGATGAGACTGGTCCCAAAGAGTGGAGTATGGCCAGGAGCATGGTGGTGATTGTGGAGTGTGGAGGTTTAGGGCTGCCAGGGCTCTATTTGAGCAGGTACTGGGCTCACCCGCCCCCCTCCAGGGGACATACTCCCAATGACTCAGCCTTGAGAGGGGGTCCAGAAGAATCTCTCTGCAAATGGCTTTTATATAGCTGTTCACATAACCATTTCACAGTGATGTAATCTTAAATGTAATATGGAACAATTATGTCATTAAAAACAAATTTGGAACATACATAAAAAAAATCTCAGAGGCACTCAATTTAATTCACTTTAATCCTTGGCAGTTTTAAAGAGTTTAAATACACTGGGCTATAACAGTACAGCAGATCAGATGTTTGCAGCCGATCCAGGTTCGATCTTGGCATCCTATATGGTTCCCTAAGCACCACCAGGAATAATTCTTGAGCACAGAATCAGAAGTAAGGCCTGAGCATCTCTGAGTGTGGCCCAAAAACAAAACAAAAAAAGAGTTTAAATTCACTAGCCCTTGGACTTTCCATTAAATTGCATTTAGTTCAATAAGGAGAGGCACAGATATTTGACTCCAAAAGTAGTTAAACTCCAAAAGTAGTTTAAATCCTGCATTTCTAAGTAAAAATTAACATGTTTGGAGTAAAAGAATGTTTTACCATTCGGAACTAAAACAAGAAATATAAGGCCAGGAGATCATATAGAAGATATGGCAACTTATAAGTGGCAGCGCCTTTAGTTCAGTCAATCCCTGGCATCACATATGCACATAAGGTTCCCAAAGCACTGCCAGAATTGATCCCTGAGCTAGAAATTAGGCCTGAACACTGCTGAATGTGATTCAAAAACCAAAGAAGAAATATATATATATATATATGTGTATATATATATATATATATATCACTTTCTCTCCCCAACTAATTCAGAATATCTTTGTCAGTGTTTGATTGTATAGCACTGTAGCACTGTCCTCCCGTTGTTCATTGATTTGCTCGAGTGGGCCCAGTAACATCTCCATTGTGAGACTTGTTGTTACTGTGTTTGGCATATTGTACCTTTCCAGGCTCTGGATGGAAGCAAGGCAAACGCCCTATGACTGTACTATCACTCCAGCCTACCAAAAAAAACAGTAACAACAACAAAAAAAAAACCGTAACAAGAAGTCTCACAATGGAGACATTACTGGTGCCCACTCGAGCAAATCAATGAACAACGGGAGGACAGTGCTGAAGTGCAGACCAGTAATAAATAAAAAAATAAATATATAAAGTTTAGCTCTCCTGTGCACCTGGCACCCCATCGCACCA